GGGAGAAGAGCTTTTCGTCAGTTATGGGTAAGTCTCTGTTTTTTATTTTTATTTTTTCATTGAAATCCGAAACCGAGTAATTGAGCCCTTGTTCAAATAAATTGCGGACTTCTGTTGTCACTTGTTGATGAACATTTAACTTTAAACACTATCATGTCCTCATTGTAAATATAAAAATCAAATCATAAGAAATGTGCCCCTCTTGAAGCTGAAGTTGTCTAACATTTATGGAAAATCGGTTCGTTGGGTTAGTTCTGGGTTCGTGCCTGCTATGATTTATTAATAAACTAGGCCGACGTAAATTTACCTTCCTCTAGACCAATGGAATTATTGTTATTTTTTTTATTATATGGCGAAATTTAAAGTACTGTGACTATTAATGTATGAAGCAAATTTTTATGTTGGCAACCCTGAATTATTGGCAGCAATGTTCGTAGTTGTCAGTTTTGACATGACAGTACCAAAAAAATGTAATGACAAGCGGGCAGCGTCATAAATGTTAATTTGACAATCAGGTATGCCATCATAAAAATTTAAATGCGTTGCCAACTCGACAAAAAAATGTAACCTTAACTGTCATTCGGTCCTCATAGGGGGGACTAAATATACCCCCAAGTACTGCGTTGCCAAATTGTGCTTTGTATGTATGCTGTACATTACCGTCAACTGTAGATATAGTATCGGGAACTGATGTGTTAACATTGCTGCCAATAATTCCGAATTACCAACACAAAAATTTGCTTCAATTATTAACAGTCTCGGTAGATAATTAACGGATGTTCAGTTGAAAAACTCATCAAGTTGGTTTTGGTTGAAACGTAAATACAGGGTCTCAGCTGAAACCAGCTAATAGCTTGAGAACGGTTTTCTTAAAAAACTCTAAATTTTTAAATTTGCTGTTGCGCAATCTTTGGCTTTAAATTTGAACTATTTGGACGACAAGCAAGACTTCAGCAACAATACTGAGTGTTTCGTTTTTAGGACGTTCTTTGTAATGACACACCCTATATGTTTTTGCATATTTAGATTCGTTTGACCTCCTAGGCTTTATTTCTGAATTCCGACGTCACGTTGCCATGTAATTCAAATTTTCTTGAAATTTTTTAGTAAACAAAATTTTTTACAAAGTAGTAGGGTTATTTTTAACATTTGTGTTATAATGTTTTTTGGAGAAATAAATAAAAGGTACGCGCTATGTTGTGACATAAATAAAATTAAATCCTCGTATATAGAGCATTTATTGAAAAAATAATCTTTACAATTTTCAAATATCAATATTTCAGATTTTTCAAATAGAGCGCCCTGTATGTTTTACTGCATCTTATTCTATTTTTTATTTTATTTCTTGGTTGTTAAGTATTTTCTATTTGAAAGTTGATGGTTATTGCGATTTTTTACTTTTTTAAGAGATATTAGATGAATGAGAACAAAAATACAGGAAGATACAATAATAAAATACAGGGTGTTTTATTTGAAATTTCTAATGTTTTATTTGTTTTTTTTATAAACACCATGTATATTAAAATTTGATTTAATTGGTATCACAACAAAACGCGTACCATGAAAATATAAATTTTAGACGAGCCATGTGCACTTTAACCCGTGTTGTGGTTCAGTTTTGACTTAGTTTTCTTATTATAGTTGCTGAGATGGCCGATAATAAATATACAGTGTGTTTACTAAAGTTTTCAAAAAATTTAACGCGTTATTTCTTAGACTATTTTAAGATCTTTTTCTCCTTGATTGATTTTCGGATAAAAGCTTCGTAAAACAAACAATACTTTAATGGTAAAATAAACCAAGGAATAAACCCTTTGATTTTTTACCGCATGTTTAGTAAACACCCTGTATATTTCCACCCTCAGTCTTAAAAAAAAATTAAATATTTTCTATATTTTAACTGAAATAATATACAGAGTGTTCTATGATTTACTTGATACCACTACAAAGTGCATACCTCTGTTGACTGATATGTTAACATTGTTGTTAATAATTCAGAATTACCAACACAAAAATTTGCTTCAATCATTAAACCCGGTAGATATAATTAACGGATGTTCAGTTGAAAAAGTCATCAAGTTGAGTTCAGTTTTTCGTTTTGTTTTAAAACGTGTTATTTTTGTTTTTTGGTGTTTTTTGTTGTTACAAATATTTAGCAGTTTTAATTACATGAACAGTTAAAATATAGGAGTACTTTTTTCGGTAAACTAGGAAATATTAGTTATTTAGTAAAGTCAGGGTTTTCTTAAAAAAACCCCAATTTTTTTTAATTTGCTGTTGCGCCATCTTTGGCTTTAAATTTGAACTATTTTGGCGACAACCAAGACTTCAACAACATCTATCATAACCTTAAAATTTTCAATACAGAATGCAAGAAATAATAGACCTATTGCACGTACTAATCAAGTGAAAAACATGGTCATATTTGTCCGCACTCAAATTTAAGTTGGCTATAATGAATTTTTAAATTATGTACCACATTCGATTGGTGAATTTCGTAGTACTACATGGAATTCTGGGCAGTCTATTCTTGTCATTTCAAAAAATGTCAATGTAAATGCACCTTTAGCGTGAATATGAGTAGCTAAGGTCTGGTTTAGAAATTTTGACAATTATATGACACCTCTGCCCAGTTTTCCGTGTCCCCGGTAGTACCAAATTGAAAATGTGGGAAAATCAGCCCAAATGATTCATTACTGCCAACCTAAATTTAAGTGTGGATAAATATTATCACGTTTATAGTCACACGATTGGTTAATATTATTCATTAAAGAAATTATTAAAAAAAGAAATATATTTGATTATTATTTATGTGTAAATTACTCTAAAATTCAAAATTTCTGCTCTCGTGTTTTAGAACAAAAAAACCTTTAAAACAAGCAACTTTCATGATTCATTGTTGCCAAACTAAATTTAAGTGTGGATAAATATTATCATGTTTAGTCACACGATTGGTTAATATTATACATTAAAAAAATTTATTAAAAAAATATATATAATATTATTTAGATTATTTATTTGTAAACTACTCTAAAATTAAAAATTTTTGCTCTCGTGTTTTAGAACAAAAAAACCTGTTTGAAAACCATTAAAACCAGCCGTTTTTTATTTACTAACATCTCTATAAACACCATTGTTTTTAACTTGAAGCGGGAAGCTTAATTTAATACATCGCTAATATGACACGCATATACAGGGTGCCGCATCAAATTTTTGAAAATATTAAACTGCATGTCTGCTGGAATACGATCCACACCGTCATTTTTTACTGTTGCCATTTTTGTCAGTGGTTATCAGAATTTTAGACTGTCAATTAAATTCACACTAAAACATCAGAATTGCGAAGAGAATTCTTCAACTTTGAAGTTTAATATTTAAAAAAAATTGATTGAGGGATTTTTTAACAACTTTTTTCGAGTTCTTTAGGGCTTCTTAACAATGTACCATCGAATTTACACGTCGTTTTTCATCACCCTGTATATGGCATCGGCGTTCCAAACCTACATTTTTGAAATTAACTAAAAAAAAAATACAAATAATATATATATATTTATTTTATTTTTAACTGACAAAAAAAATAAAGTTTATGAAAATAAAAGTATGCAAGTTGAGTGAAATAAAGTGCTTGCATTTTGTTATAATCAACAAGATCAGTTTCAAAAGTAGCTATTTTAGCATATGTTGTAAAACAGTGGTAGTTCTTTATTTCACTCAACTTTAATTTTTTTATGTTTATAAATTTTATTTTGTTATCAACTGAAAATGAAATAAATATATATTGCATTTTTAAAAAATGTACTAAATGAAGCTGGTCCTTTCAAGCTAAAAACAATGGTGTTTAAAGAATTTCAGTTCGTTCTCAAGATAGTAGACTGCGGAATTTAGCTGACACCCTGTATACACAAATAATACGAGTTATATTACCCGTGACCAGAAATGACTAAGTCTGTCGGCAATCCTGGATTTTTAGTTGAAATTGGTACCATGATGTTTTCTATAATTTCCGGTTGCCATCTGTCAAGATTCACAGATCGTTGGAATTTTTAAATTTACAAAATGTGTCCAAAACAGTTAAAATTCGATCGACATCTGTCATAAAATTACTTCCGTTATACCAACATACACGCAAGAAAAGTTCATAGTTTTATTTAAAAAGTATTGCCAACAGACCAGTCATTTCTGGTCACACGGTGATAATTTGTTATTAAATTAAATCAAAATAAAATGCGTTTTTTATATTTTGGCGGTATCTCAAACAAGAAAATTGCTTTTAAAGTAGTGCTGTCATTGGCACAAATTGCGGTTAAACTAATTAAGCTACGCCCTACGTCTCTCACATCTTTTTTGTTTCCAGTAAAATATCGTTAAGCATTCAATTTTTAAGTATTGTTGGTTGCATATTCCTCTTATTTTGACGTGTGGTTTACAACTTGGCAAGTCGGTATATTTAATTTACCGCCTCCTGGCATTTATTAATACGATACGATTTTTTAAATTGCACATACGAGAATCTAGAAACAAAAGATGTGAAAGATACTGAAATTTAAAAAATCACATGGCTGCGCGCGCATGAAAATATTTTTTTTTAAATCAATTCTAGTTTGCTTTTTGCTAATTCATATACTTATTCGCTTTCAGCCCGCACTATTACTACCACGAGCAAAGTGATCGTAGGAATTTTATTTGGCGATTATTTTACTACCAGTGTCGGTGTTTGGCCTGTGTAGATGAGATGCCTATTATGGCCTTGTTCGAGGATGAAGTTCGTTCAGAAAACTACGTGACCGTCGCAGCTAATGCCAAAAGATGCTTTTTGGAAGGTTCCGTGGAGATAAAAGCCGCTCTCATGGCCCTGCTGGACGCGATCGACACAGAATTCACCATGGAGAAGTACTTCTACACCACAGCGTTATGGTACCATTATGACCTGGTGGCAAATAGAAGACGCGTTCCTTAATTTTAAACTGTACGTGACCTTTGTACTTTTATAAATAAAGGAATCAATGAGATTTTAAGTGTGACTTAAATGCACTACTCAGACTAAAATTCTTATCACATAGGTGGCACTTATAAGGCCGCTCTCCGGTATGAGACCGCATATGTTTTCTCAAAACCGACGACGAAATGAATCCTTTGCCGCAGCTCTTGCATACGAAAGGTCGTTCCCCGGTGTGGATCCTCCGGTGCAAAACCATGTGGTCTTTAGTCATAAAGCCTTTACTACAAACGTCACACAAGAAAGGTCTCTCTCCAGTATGGCTCCTCAAGTGCACGTTTAAATTGGCAACTGAGACGCAAATCTTCCCACAGACGTTGCAAATAGCCCCGGAAGCCCCCCCAGAGTGACACTTTTTAACATGAGCCACCAGTGTCTCTCGAACTTTGTACCTTTTAGGGCAATACGTGCACGGAAAATTCGCGTCTAGCTCGTGTTTGGCTTGGAAGTGTCGATCAAGAGCGTGCTTGAACGGAAACGCCATTTTACACTCCGGGCACGGATAAGGCTTATTTTCGCTATGACGCCTCTTATGTCGCCACAAATTCTGAGCCGTGTGGTAACGCTTATCGCACAAGTCGCACCGATACCCCTCCTCCATCTTATGCACCTGAAACGACTCCCAAATAAAACAGAAGCAACATTTTTTCGAAATTACTTTCACGTGAGAGCGCAATTTTCCATAAGTTGGGAAGGTTTTCGAGCACTTTGTACATTTATGTTTGTAGGAGATGGTTTGTTCTTCGTTTTCAATTGGCGTGTACTCTTCTTCTTTCATCCGAATTCTTTCTAAAATAGCCTTAGTAATTTCAAAAGCTTGTACTACTTGTTGTTTGAATGTGTACCATTTGTCGATTTCGCTTTCGCAGGGTTGGCAGATGAAGATGTCTTCAGGGGGGAGCTGTGGGGCGAGAATTCGTGATTTGCGTTGTTTTGTGGACGAGTTTACCTGGATTGAAGCGCATTGGGTTAATTTTTCCGATGTGGAGTCGGTGATGGGTTGCAGGGGTTCTTGCTCGAGTAAACAAATTCGGCACACTTTGTCTGGTTGCAGGTCTTCGTATTTAAGCGGGATTTCCATAGTTGGGGGTTGTTGGTGTTGGTAAACAATAAAGCGAGGTTATGTTTAATGTCAAAGTTTGATTCTAGAGACAGATTGCGACTTTTGTGCACATGCGCTGTTGGTTTTTCGTCAATATAAATTATTTAAAAATTTTCAAAACGTATAAATAATTATTTTAAATTAATAGGTAATTATTTTGAAGAGTTTTGTAACGTTCGATTTATTCACATAATAACTTAAATATAAGCTTTTGGGTAGGCTCCAGTAGCTTTCCAGCTGGAGTGAAATAAAGGGTAAACGATGGTTGGTAAAGGCAGAGAACATAGAGAAACGTCATAGTTTAAACCACGGTGGTAGAAGTAAGGTGTGGAAACAAGCCGCTCCAATTTGTTGAATAAAACACGCATCCCAGTAGGCTTATTTACTACGAAATAGTATGCAGCACAGTATGTCCATCTATGTATTAACATTTCAACTTGTCAGTGTATTTATGAATGAAATAAGTGACAGATTCGTTGGAGGGAAAATAAATCACAGCACTACGGTTTGTGGTTGGTCTTTGGTGTGAATCGTGTGATTGGTGGATGATTCGACATTTGTGATTGGGTAATAAATGACATTGGCATAAATGTCAAAGATTTAATACAGTTTTCTATTACTTAATTTCAACTGATCTCTCTAGACGTCGCTGCGGTGTGGACAGATAATGACATATAATCCAAACCACGCGATTTGTGTTTTCTACCAATGATTTTGAGGAAAGTTATGAATGAGGTTTCCACACCTTACTTCTACCACCGTGGTTTAAACTAAATGACTGTTGAGGACTCCTTGACTTATGTTGGCAACAGTGTTTGTTTCTAACTAGGAATAAAACTAACTAGAAAAAATGTCATAATTTTTAAAGGACGTGTTTTACTTTCGACAAATTGACACTAGATTTACCAGAATGTCACAAGCTGCTTCCTGTTTCCTTCACTTTAATTCAGGTCACACGAATTACATTTCGTCGTCTGAGAACTTGTTTGATCCACAGACCAGAGCGCACTCAGGCCAATGTCGACTCTACGCGTTCGGAAACGATTTGATTTATAAGTAGACAGCGGATTTCTGTCGGGCTACGTCACGATTTCAGTGGGGACGCGCTGCATCGCCGGGACTCAGTAGCGGGTGATAGGTAATCACTGAATTTAATTGTCACTTGATTCCATAAATACAATTAACGATTTATTAATCAAACGGCTAACTAAATGAGAACTGGAATTAACAGCAGAGTGCAACGAAGCAGCGTTATTCTAATCTCAAATAAACGAAGTGCAGCCGGTAACTGCAATGAATTCCCATCCCGTACGAGCCGTACCGAGTTTGGCCTTGTCTAGCCCGACAGAAATCCGCTCTCTATTTATAAGCCATGGTCCGTGATCTGATACACATCCTAACCGGTTTCGACCATTATTTCTGCTGTTTCAACTTTCGAATTCTCAGTTTTTCCAAATTTTAGTTTAGGGACTTTTCAGTTTATTCCTATTTACTATTCAATTTTTGGATTTAACTTTTTTAATTTTTCGATTTCACAATTTTTCAATTTTTTAATTTCTCAGTTTTTGGACATTTCAGTTTTTGGATTTTGCAATTTACTTATTATTCAATTTTTCGATCTAACGATTTTGCAGGTTTTTGATTTTTCAATTTTTCGATTTTTTTAAGGTTTCGATATTTCGACTTCACTTTTTTGATTTTTCGATTTCTCAATTTTTCGATTCTTTAGATTCTCAGTTTTTGGATATTTCAGTTTTGGGATTTTTCAGTTTTTTTTTCATTTTTCAGTTTTTCGATTTTTGAGTTTTGGGATTTTTCAATATTTCTGTTCTTCGACTTTTCCATTTTTGACTTCTGGATATTTCGATATGTCGACTTTTTACTTTTTCGATTTTTGAATTTTAGATTTCTCAATTTGTTGGTATTTTATTTTCTCAATGTTTAAAATTTTAGATTTTTCGATTTCTCGATTTTTCATTTTAGCTCTTCCATATTTCAATTTGTCAAATGTTTCGATTTCTTAATCTTTCGATTTTTCAACTTCCCGGTTTTAGATTTTCTGTTTTTCAATTGTCGTTTTTTCAATTTTTCGATTTTTAAATTTTAGATTTTTCAGTTTTGATATTTTAATTTTTCAATATTTAAAATTTTAGATTTTTCGATTTCTCGATTTTTCATTTCAGTTCTTCGATATTTCCGTTTTTCATGTTTTCGAATTTTTCAAATGTTTTGATTTCTTAATTTATCGATTTTCCGACTTTCCGGTTTTAGATTTTCTGTTTTTCAATTGTCGTTTTTTCAATTTTTCAAATTTGACATTTAAACTGTCAATTTTTCGATTTTTCAATTAATCAATGTTTTGACTTTCCCATTTCTTGACTTTCGAGGGTTTCGATATTCCTGTTCTTCAATTCTTTAATTTTTCGATTTTTCATTTTTTAGTTTTTTTAAGGTTTGGATTTTTCGATTTCACTTTTTGGATTTTTCGATTGCTCAATTTTTCGAATTTTTAGATTCTTAGATTTTGGATATTTCAGTTTCCGGATTTTTCAGGTTTTCCATTTTTCAGTTTTTCTTTCATTTTTCAGTTTTTGGATATCTCAGTTTTGGGATTTTTCAGTATTTCGATTCTTCGACTTTTCGATTTTTGACTCTTGGATTTTTCGACACTGATTATTTTACTTTTTCGATTTTTCAATTTTCCGATTTTTAAATTTTAGATTTTTTAATTTTTAAAATTTTAGATTTTCGATTTCTCGATTTTTCAGTTTAATTCTTCTATATTTGAATTTTTTAAGTCTTCGAATTTTTCAAATGTTTCGATTTCTTAATCTTTTGACTTTTCGGCTTCCCGGTTTTAGATTTTCTGTTTTTCAATTGTCATTTTGGCAAATTTTTGATTTTTTAATTTTTCAAATTTGACTTTCATAAACTCGCAATTTTTCGATTTTTCAATCAATCGATGTTTTGATTTTCCCATTTCTTGACCTTAGAGTGTTTCGATTTTCCTGTTCTTCAGTTCTTTAATTTTTTTATTTTTCAGGTTTTTGATTTTTCAATTTTTCGATTTTTTAAGGTTTCTATTTTTCGACTTTTCAATATTTCAATTCTTCGGCTTTTCTATTTTTGACTTCTGGATTTTTCGATGTGTCTACCTTTTTACCTTTTCGATTTTTCAATTTTTGGATTTTTAAATTTTAGATTTTTTAATCTTTTTATATTTTAATTTTTCAATATTTCTTAATCTTTCGATTTTTCAACTTCCTGGTTTTATATGTTCTGTTTTTCAATTTTTCGATTTGTTAATTTTTCATTCCCGATTTATCGAGATTGGATTGTTCAGGTTTTCGATTTATCAGTTTTTCAATTTTTTATTTTGGCCTATTTCGGTTTTCGCAGTTTTTCCATTTTTTTGTTTTTTGATTTTTCCGCTTTTCCAGTTTTTCAACTTTTAACTTTTTGTTTGTCGATGTCTCTATTTTTCGATTTTTCGACTTCATCACTTTTCGATTTCTCATTCTTTTGATCTTTCAGTCTCTCAATTTTTCAATTTTTCGAATTTTTAGGTTTTTTGATTTCTCGGTTTATCGAGATTTGGATTTTTCGATATTTTGATTTTTCGACGTTGGCCTATTTCGGTTTCTCAATTGTTCGACTTTTCGACTCCACGATTTCTTGATCTTTTGATTTTTCGATTTTCCAGTTTTTCGATGTTTCGATTTTTCAGTTATCCGATTTTTTAAATTTGGGAGTTTCGATTTCTCGATTTTTCGTTACTCGGTCTTTAAATTTCAGATTTTTGAATTTTACATTTTTTCGATTTTTAGTTCTTCGATATTTCGATTTTTCAACGTTTCGGTTTTGCGATCTTTTAAGGTTCATTTCTCGATTTTCGATTATTTTAATTTTTCATTTATTTTTCTCACTGTTAATATCGTAGTGCATCGAAAACAACCACAAAAATTTTCACTGGAACATTGAAAAACTCATACAAAATAGAACACAGTCTTTCCAAAATATTTTCCCGAAAAAAATCCATTGGGTTATTACGATTTCAACAATATTCTTAGTTTAAGACGTTTTGCTAGTATAAAACACAAATAAAGAATTAATTCTTAGTTAAGCAAAATATGTAAAATCATCTAAATATGTATCAAAAATATTCACTTAGTCGTTATATAAACCGACCAAACAACTATTTCCCGCAGAAACTATAGTCCAAACCAATTAAATCGCTTTTCACCGCTTAGAGTCGACATTGGCCTGAGCGCGCTCTGGTCTGTAGATCAAACAAGTTCTCAGGCGACGAGTTGTAGTGAAGCAAGTTTTTGTATTGGCATCGACTATTTAAATTTGGCGCTTGTCTTTGGCGGTTGAGGACTCCAATGTCAATAAGGGTGGTTTTAAAAAATCAGCCTGTATGTCGCATCTATATTAATCTATGGTAAAGGTTACAATGTCAAATTACCGCATTTACCCAGTAATTCTAACACAAATTTAATTTTTTGCTAAAGTTCTGCGTTACTAATTAATTTTAGGCGTAATTTGGGCTTTTTCATTGGTATTTTATGTCAAAAATGTCAAAATAATTTCAACCACTTTGTTTATAAATTGTCATTTATAAACTCCGTTGCCAAGGTGGCGTTGATAGTAACCTTGATGTTCAACTTTTGCCGTATTCAAAGGGGTTCTAGAAGAACAGTGGAGGATTTAAGTTGATTACTACAAAAATTTACCATTTTAGACATGTTTTAAGTTTCTTGTTGTCGAAATAAGTCTACACATACTACGAAAAAAAGGAAAACTGTAGTCCCACCCACCCGCCCTATCTCAATTGTGATGATTTTTTTATTCGTCGTGAGTCAAGGGGGCGGAGCTTAACTGCAAAATCATTATTTCTCTACGACAAATTAAAACCATGTTTTTTAGTAGCGTGTTGCCTTTTAATTGTAAGATCCATATTTGTCTACAAGAATTTACCATTTTAAACATGTTTTAAGTTTCTTGTTCTGAAAAGACAA